ATTTGAGGGGAAGATTGACAAAGAGAAAAGTGAGTAGCTATAGTTATTGGTTGAGTTATAAGACTTTGAACTCGATAGTCATATTTTGAGTATAGTAGATTAGATTAGGTGGACTTGGATTAGTCCATTGATTTTTTTCGAGAAAATTTCCATGTAAAAATTGCTTTGTGTTGGGTTTGTTGTTTACTACTTTAATTTTGCACACACGCACCACCAAGTATTTGATAGAATGATTTTATAATTGTTATATCCTATATCTTTATCATTGTGGTTAAAATCGGTGGAAGGGCTTGGCGGGATAAGAATGATGTATTTGATCGTTGGTTGAAATTGTTGAATTTGTGCATCTTGCACCCACGTATTCCCCATCGAGCGTTTGTTCATTGTGAAAGGGGTTCAATAAACTTTAATTCATTAATAAATCTATTAATTGGCAATTGAGATTAATAGGTCTAAAATTGGGTGTAAGTTTCTGCGAGAATTGTCATAGACCTAATTACTCCCTAAGTTGTGCTTGTATAACTCCACATGTATAATCGTCTCAGGATGATCAGATTATTATGGACAGGATTTTTGAAATTTTCAGTGTTTCTTGTTGGCTCGAGACAAAGGGAAGACTAGTCTATAATTAAAATACCACAAGATAAATCCTATATCATCAGATCTAGAGATTTCTCCTTCATGGTTAGAGGAAAATGATGGCAGCTCAAAAGTCTCCTCCGTTGACGCTTAGCCACCATCTTGGAGCTTTCTTCAAAGAGAGAGCCCAATTTTCTAGTCAATAGAATAACATTTTCTTAGGGGAATAACAACCCAAAGTTTTCCCCAAATCTTACGTGTTTAAACTACCATATTTGAAGGAAAGTTTCCTGGTTGCGGTCCAATATGTTACAAAGAGCAATTTTCCACATAATAATTAGGGATACCAACAAAATTGACTCATCAAAGCTTCTTGGTCATTTCTTGTGAGAAATTGGAACCCGATCTTTTTTTTAAATAAATTATTGAAAATAGTGGATGACTCTTATTTAATAGACTAAAAGGATAATAGGTCGGTACACGTAACAGAATAGAGTGTTGGTAAATTTTTTGACATAATGGAAGGACCGTTCCTATGGACAGTGAACCACATAAATCTAGTGCTCATTTTTCTTAATTGCTCTATTTTTATTTTTATTTTTTAAATTTTCACTGCAATGCAAGTTAACAATACAAATTTTATTGGGTTTTTTTATTTTACATCCTGAAAAATTTCATTTTATACTTTCAAAGGTTAAATTTTTTACATTGTACCCTTAATGTATCAAAAGTGTTACAATGTAGCCCCCCTTCTGTTAGTTTCTTTTATTTTTCTGTCAAAATTCAATTCATTGACACTGACGAAAAAATTTATGAAAAGCTAACAGAAGGATCACATTGTAACACTTTTGATACATTGAAGGGGTAATATAAAAAAATTAATTTTTAAGGGTACAAAATAAAAATCTTGAATCTTTCAAAGTGTAAAGTTCAATTTGCCCAATTTTATTCATCAAAGATAATTTCGGGTTCTTTTGTTTTTGAGTATACTTTTACTCATTTAAAATGTAAATCTTGCTCAAAAACTGAGAACAAGAAGGTTGTCTGATTGGGGTTTCTTGAGAATTTTTTTTTTTTTTTGGGCTGATTTACATAACATAAAGTATTGTCACCTAATGGATTCTGCCAACTAGCATGTGCATAGACCCCATAAACAACTGCCTCAGAAACAAAGGGTAGGTAATCCTCCTCCTTCTTCCAATTCTAAGGTCCCATCATTTCTCTGACTCTCTTCCTTCCAAGATACCTCCCCTCAACTACAATTGTGTACAAACTTAACTTGTTTCATTATTTTACACAAATTGGATGTAATAAGTTTGAACTCACAATTTCAAAGTTATTGAGTCGAGTTTTAACCACTAAACAATTGATTCCATATTAAATATGTATCTGTGTATGACTGTATATATGTGTGTGTGTGTGTGTGTTGTTTAGAGTATGCCAAATTGAAAAAGTAAAAGAGAAATTATAACACACAATAATAATCTAATGAACTCCTCCTCACAACATAAAAAGTCCGGGTCATTGAAAAATAGTCAGAAAAAGAAAAGTATGTAGGGGAGACACGCCAAGTTGTTTTGAGCTATTTGTAGTGCCAAATGTTGAAGTAAGAGTGTTTCTGCAGACTCTAGCGGATTTAGTATGAGCCTAGGTGAATTTTTGGAAATTTTATTTTTTTTTTAAATCTTGTCCCTATTAAAATTTTCATAATATATAAATGGGATTAATGTAATTCTCAAACTATTATTGAATAAAATTTTGGCTCACTTCATTCATTTCATGCACTTTATTGTCTAGACATCTCCTTCGTTCAAACTTCTGTCTCTACGACTCTGCCTTTCTTCACCAATCTTCACTTCTTTCTTTTCTTTAATTTCTTGGAAGCTTAGATATATTTATCAACAAAATCGGCTTACTTGGTTGTTGGTATTGGGGTATATAACAACAATTATCTCACAAAAACAAGATTTAAGAACAATAAAACAGTGACTAATTTTTACTATAGTGTATCACTTTAATTTTAAGACAAGATCAAGCATGAACAAGACAAAATCTGCTGCAGTGAATTACAAAAATTTCATTCCAAAAATTTGTCTATTTTAATTAAAAATTCAGTGCAACAAGGCCCAAATACAAGAGAATTAGATCTGAAATTAAACAACAAATACACACAAGTATTATGAATTTATGGATTATATTTTGACTATGTATAGTACACCATGTCATTTGTTACAGACCTAATGACAAACTATTAAATTTGAATATAATTAGACAAAGTTATTTTTTAATCAGTTATGGATAGATTTATATATTTCTTGTAAAAAAATCAACACTAAAACAACTGTCTCCTAATCAAGAAATATATGATCTTTTGATGTGAAGTCTTTTTTTGTACATCCCTCATATGTATGAATTGTGCATTTAAATGACATTTTTTTTTGTCAAACTATACATAAAAAAAATTTATTAAAAAAATATATTTTGATGAATATAATGTTATAATTTAAATTTAAGAATTTTAAGTTGTTCCTACAAACACAAAATTTTGGCTCCGCCTCCAGGCAGACTAGTTATCCTTTTTTTTTTTTCTAGGTGTAACTTCGCATTTGGGGTAGAATGCTTTTTTTTGTTCAATTTTCTATTTGAAATGGGGCATTGAGAAGTCAATATTCAACGGTCAGTCACTTTGAAAACCCACAGCCCACGCATTTCACAAGTCATATATACACAAACTAACTCAAAATTAAACTCTTAAAAGTCATGCCAAGAGTTCTTCTATACCCTTCTTGCTAGGCCAACCCAAACCACCGCCCCTTCTCCTCCGGTGGCTCCACCATCTACGACATGGGCTCGGACGGCGATCACGATGACCTTTCACAGTGTTCCTTCCTTCAAAGTCATGGACGACCCTCATACAATATAAACAACAAGATAATGCTCACAGCAATTATTTCATTATCAGTTGTGGTCGTAGTTGTTACAATACTGCACTTATATGCAAGATGTGTCCTCCGACGCCAAGCCCGCCGCCGAGCCGCCATTCGCTGGCAACTGGGCATTACCGGATCTGCTCGTGTGCACTCCGGTGAGCCACCCAAGACAGGGCTCGATCCGATTGTCATCGACTCACTACCAATTTTTGCTTTCAATCAAACAAACGGTGAAGATGAAGTGGAGGCAATTGAATGTTCTGTTTGTTTGAGCATGTTAGAGGATGGTGAAATGGCTAGGCCTTTACCAAACTGCAACCACACTTTTCATGCAGAGTGCATTAATAAGTGGCTGAGTTCTCACTCCACATGTCCCGTTTGCCGAACAGAGGCACAGCCCCGGCTTTCTCCGGAGCCTCGAGAACCAGCAGCCGGGATTCCTCCGCCAACGGCTCCACCGTTGGACCGAGTTAACTCAGCCATGGAGGGGACATCAGAAGGTGCAGCACAGTCCTTGGCTAAAGTTAGTGGATCAAACTCACGGTTGAGTTCGTTTAGAAGAATTCTTAGTAGAGAGAGATCATCAAGGCAAATTCAATCTTGTGAAGATATAGAAGACCTTGAGAGACAGTGACTATAGAATACAGATATAATTAAGCATTCCTTTATTATGATGCTTCTGCTACTTACACTCATGTGCTTGTAGATTTTTCGTTCCCTTTTGTTACTAGAAACCAACACATAGTACACATAATAAATTTCTTTGCTCCGGTCATCGGACGGTGAGATTTTGTGTGTGTGTTCGAGGTTTGTTAGAAGAGTTGTTTATGTTATCTATGAGTGAGATTAGAAAATACCACCACTGATGCTTCTAAATCTATTTTACTAATTCCGCTTCCTACTTATAGTATGTTAACATTGAGTTGTCATGAAAGATCTAATCTCAAGAGATTGTTAAAATTTAAACTTAAAATGTCTAGATTTATAGCTTATTCATATTATTACTTGAATTACCCTTTGAGTTGTAATTAGTTATTGGTGTCAAAGTTTATGTTTTTGTGTTCTTAGCCCATTGAAAAACAACAAAAAAAGAAAAAAGAGTTTGGTCATAGAAAAAATAGACTCTGGAATTTGGTTACCTAAATTATAGTGGTTTGGTGGTCATAGAGGAGAGAGTATTTGGCTTACCTACGACTACTATTATTGTCAATGCCTTTGACAAACCCATGTGAACCAAGCCAACCGTTTCTGATTATCAACCATTGACCTAAAAAATTATTTCTTTAGGCTCGTTGAATACGCTCTATAGAAACAAGACACAATAATCAATTTTGAGGGCTCAATATTTTCTTCCAAGTGTACTTATTGATTTGAGATACAATTTGTCCAAATTTGAAATTTGTAGCATTGTTTGCTAAGATCGCTGACTTTAGCGTTTAACAAACGCCAAAAAAAATTACATAAACGTCGACAAAATGATTTTACAACGCCGCCTATATATGAGTCGGCAAAACTCCCATCATTTGTGTAAACGCTGGCACTTTTATTTTGACGTTTTCCCTGGCTCAAAAACTAAATACCAAGTTGTTTTGCCAGAATCTGGTGATTGAAAATAAAAAAATGTGGCATTTAGTAAATGCCAAAAAATTACACTTTACCACTATTAAAGTGCCGATAAAGGTGCCTTTGGATCCATTGTCAAAAGAAAATTATTGCCCAATTGATAAATCAAATGGAAGTCCAAAAAATTATTAACATTGAAACGGAATAAAAAAGGAAAGGTTAATTGTGAGTGGGAGTTCCCCAAAATATGAGGTTTTTCTCATTTTGGTTCTCAAAATTTTAATTGCATAATTTTGATCCCCGAATTATTAAATATGTTTTTATACGGTTTTTAAAACAGACAACGTTCAGATTGTTAACAATTTTTTATTATAAACTTGTCCATGAGCTATCCCAATTTTAGTACAAAAAACTACCCATTATGCACATTTTTGTCAATAATTACCTAAATTTTGTTTAGAAGCTATCAAAATTATTTTTTGTCCATATTTAAATATTACATGACAAGTTTATGATAAAAAATCATTAGCAAACTGGACTTTGTTTGCTTCAAGGACCATATAGAAACATATTCAATAAGTAAGGAACTAAAATGAAGTAATTAAAATATTAGAGATCAAAATGAAACACATTTTATACTTTAAGGACTTTCAATGTAATTAACCCAAAAAGGAAAATGGATAGTAATGATTTTCTTATTCTGTTTTGGTAGTAAAAATGCATGGCAATGAGCAATGAAAAGGCCATTAGTCGAAGGAGTCTCGGCCGAGTTAGAGACGAGCTTGAAAAGTTTATTTTTTAATCAAGTCTAAAAAATTATTCAAATTCGACTCGTTTAGGAAACAAGCTGAACCTAAACGAGCCAAAAATAAATCGAGTCCGAGTATTTGCACATAAATAAGTCAAGTCTGTTAAGTTTAAACCGAGCTTATAGGGTTTATTTTATAAACGAGGTCTAATAACTTGTTCAAGTTTGGGCTCGTTTAGAAAACGAATCGAGCCTGAGTAAGTCGAACTCGAGCCAAACTCAAACCAAGTTCGAATAGTTCAGTTTGATTAACAGTCTTTTATACAAGGAAATGTCGGGTTTTGGGCCCAGCCCATGTGTACAGCCCAACCCATAATTTATGGGTTGAAAATTCATTAATTAAAGAAAAAGGGTACTTTCTGAAATTACGTCGTCAATATTTAACCACACGAACCTAATTCGATTAGATTTGTTACTTGGTGGTTAAAAACTTAAAACCAAGGAAAAGACTTGCTCTTGGCGTGAGCAAAAGCAAAGGCAGAGGCGGCGTTGTTGTTACGACGCACAGACCGAGAGGAACAAAAGAGTTGTTCGTGTAGACAGTTTTCAAGCTAAAATTTGGGTAGACAGTCATCCCCCGATTTTAATGAAATTTTAGTACATTGTTTGTGACAACAGAAATTATGCCGTGATAAATTTATTTTGTCGGAAGTCTTTACAGATTGATATTTTCGCAAGACTTATTAGAGTAGATCTCTTCTTGTTATTTTGTTGATATCTATTCTCGGGTGACGAATTGTTAATACTTTAATAGCCTCTGAGAATTGTTCCGGAAAAAATTGTTATAAACCCATTATTGAAATATAGTGAAAAGTTGAGTTCGGTGTTCAAGGACGTATCCCAAGTTTGGGGGAACCATATAAATTTTGTGTTGATTATATTATCTGCTTTTATTTTTGGTTGATTGATTTTGGTACATCACCTATCTAATTTGCATAAAAAATTAATTCCACTATTATTTTTTTTGCGAGTTCACCCTACAAAGTGGTATTAGAGCACAAATTGTTTGATCAGATTACGTGGATTTTCTTGTGCAAATTAAATGAAGGACCTTTAAGTACCATGATTAAATTAACGACATCAAACAACTCCATTTGGAAGACCAAGATGAAAGATATCTTGTATTGTAAAGATTTGTTTGAGCCCATTGACTTGAAGGGGATCAAGCCATTGTTGACTAAAATTGACAATGAATAGAAGGAAATCAACCGAAAAGCCGTTGGACATATCAAACAATGGATTGATCAGAGTGTCTTTCATCACGTAGCCAAAAAAATTGAGGCTTATGAATTTTGACAAAAGCTAAAGAGTTGGTATGAGCGCAAGACTGCACAAAATAAAGCCTTTATGATCCGAAGGCTTGTGAACTTGAAGTATAAGGATGAAAACAGTATTAGTGTATCTCAATAATTTTTAGGAATTGTTAAATGAGTTGTCCACCATGAAGCTTGTGCTTGATAACAAGGTGCAACCATTACTTTTGTTGAGTTCTATTTGGGAAACCTTAGTTTTATCGTTAGTAATTCGGCTCCTAATGGTGTGATCACTATCAATATAGTAAATAATAATATGTTTAATGAAGAGATTAGAAGAAAAGAGCAAGGTATTTCTTCTACTTCAGAAACACTTGTTACTGAAAATCGGCGGAAAGATAAAACTAGAAATTATATTGATGACAATCGTGACAAGTCAAGCGATAGATCCAAGTCAAAAACTGGGCAATCAAGAAAGGGAATAAAGTGTTTTCATTGTGACAAGCTTGGACATTATAAGAAAGAGTGCAGAAAGTGAAAACTGGAGCAATCTCAAGAAACAAATGAAGATAGAAATAATACTGCAACAGTTGCATCTGAGGCTAACGTGATTATTGTTTGTAATGATGCCTATGCTAATCTTGCAAGCCAGGACTCTACTTGAGTAATTGATACATCAGCTTTTTGTTCATATTATTGCACATAGAGATTTCTTCTCTTCCTATTCTAGCGGTGACTTTGGTTGGGTTAGAATGGAAAACGAAACAAAGTGTAAAATTGCGGGCATTGGAGATGTATTGCTTCTCAAGGATGTCAGACATGNTGTTCAAGGACGTATTCCAAGTTTGGGGGAACCATATAAATTTTGTGTTGATTATATTATCTGCTTTTATTTTTGGTTGATTGATTTTGGTACATCACCTATCTAATTTGCATAAAAAATTAATTCCACTATTATTTTTTTTGCGAGTTCACCCTACAAAGTGGTATTAGAGCACAAATTGTTTGATCAGATTACGTGGATTTTCTTGTGCAAATTAAATGAAGGATCTTTAAGTACCATGATTAAATTAACGACATCAAACAACTCCATTTGGAAGACCAAGATGAAAGATATCTTGTATTGTAAAGATTTGTTTGAGCCCATTGACTTGAAGGGGATCAAGCCATTGTTGACTAAAATTGACAATGAATAGAAGGAAATCAACCGAAAAGCCGTTGGACATATCAAACAATGGATTGATCAGAGTGTCTTTCATCACGTAGCCAAAAAATTGAGGCTTATGAATTTTGACAAAAGCTAAAGAGTTGGTATGAGCGCAAGACTGCACAAAATAAAGCCTTTATGATCCGAAGGCTTGTGAACTTGAAGTATAAGGATGAAAACAGTATTAGTGTATCTCAATAATTTTTAGGAATTGTTAAATGAGTTGTCCACCATGAAGCTTGTGCTTGATAACAAGGTGCAACCATTACTTTTGTTGAGTTCTATTTGGGAAACCTTAGTTTTATCGTTAGTAATTCGGCTCCTAATGGTGTGATCACTATCAATATAGTAAATAATAATATGTTTAATGAAGAGATTAGAAGAAAAGAGCAAGGTATTTCTTCTACTTCAGAAACACTTGTTACTGAAAATCGGCGGAAAGATAAAACTAGAAATTATATTGATGACAATCGTGACAAGTCAAGAGATAGATCCAAGTCAAAAACTGGGCAATCAAGAAAGGGAATAAAGTGTTTTCATTGTGACAAGCTTGGACATTATAAGAAAGAGTGCAGAAAGTGAAAACTGGAGCAATCTCAAGAAACAAATGAAGATAGAAATAATACTGCAACAGTTGCATCTGAGGCTAACGTGATTATTGTTTGTAATGATGCCTATGCTAATCTTGCAAGCCAGGACTCTAATTGAGTAATTGATACATCAGTTTTTTGTTCATATTATTGCACGTAGAGATTTCTTCTCTTCCTATTCTAGCGGTGACTTTGGTTGGGTTAGAATGGAAAACGAAACAAAGTGTAAAATTGCGGGCATTGGAGATGTATTGCTTCTCAAGGATGTCAGACATCGAGTATTTGCATCGAGTTCCAGAATGCAAGAAACTAAAAAGAATGACAAGCTTACTGGAACCATTCAGTGCCAACTTTGATGGCCCTTCCAATTCCATCGGCCAGCTGATTCACAAAACCTTACTATTAACCTTAATTTAATGCCTCA